CATCATCAATTTCGGACCAATTCGTAGGAATCACTTACAAATCCACTTTAAATTGATTAAATATGAGAACAGATTGACATTATTTGACTATTCGAAGGCAGAATCGATGATCTATAAATAATCATCAGTTTTACCAATCTTGGACTATTGGAGACGAAACGCCACCTCACGCTGTTTTTGAAAACCGAATTAATAATAATAGCAGATAGTGCATCACAATATGTGCGATTATTTGAAAGACCCACGCACAAGTGTAACTTTAGTGGATCTCTTTTTATTTATCATTTCATTCATTGTATATACTTGATTTGAAATTTCTAGGTATTGACCTTTTGTTTCTGTATCTTATGGATATCCTATGGACATATTCGGGACGTCTGTTTCGGATATCTCAAGTACATCCGCAATCGGATGTCTCATGGATATTCATTTTGTGTCCACGGATATCGCACCTTGAAATGGATATCGCATAAGAGATCATGAGATATCCTGTGTTAACTGGGCCGTGAGTGGGAGCAAAACCGCACGAAGATATTTATTGATATGCAATTTCACCACTGACTTCTTCATGAAAATTGACTCTCAGGCACTGACAGCAAATTTCTTTCATCTAGGTCCAAAAGTGTTCAAGTTGGTCCACCTTGTACACGAATTTTCATAACTCTGTCTACCGATGAAGTTAATCCAGATAGTCTAGAGACATTTTTTCTTTCATTTATAATCATCATGCAGGGTCATCAGATGAAGATAACCATGAAGAAAAATTGTATTATAAATCTGGTACTTTTTTTAGACATTTTTTGCAACAAATCATTCTTTTCATAATTGAAATAGAAACACCCTGAGGCGTTTGATGAATCCTTTGTTCATTCACTGATTGAAAGTATGTCTCCAACAGACAGCAAATTTGTTGGTATTGCTGAAATTAACCAAAAATAATTGTTTTATGCAAATTTGCTATAAGAAAGATTCACTGCTAGTTCAGTTTTCCATCACGAAGTTTATGCAACTGCCACGAATTTTGAATTGTCAAGAGGATAATCTGAGCTATCAGAGAAAACCACCATTTCTTGCAACGGGTGCTTATTTTGTGAAAGATCATGTTCTGATAAGTTCAACACTGCTCGAATTCTTACTAGAAATCTTCATTGTAATTCGCTGGTTCATGCCTATTGCCTTGTTTTTGATTGAAATCGCTATTCGTATAAGATGTACAGAAGAGGAATTCGATGCTAAGCAACGGTAACTAACAGGTTTATCACATTATGATCATGAACAGTGGCAAACAAATCGAAATCCAAATAGTTATCACCAGCATTCTTTCAAATTTCATGTTGCCATATCACATTCCTCAAATTTATGATCTGGAGGAAGAGAAAGGAAGATCATCTTCAGATTCAAATTTGTCTCTTTTTTCTTGTGATTATATGATTTATATCCAGCTTTGGCTTGCAAATGTGATCCAGAAAAATTCTGAATCAGAAAATTATTCCCTTTATGATTCTCTTTACTGCAGTGACATATAGGTAGAGGTATGAAATCAGGAGCCACCAGCTCATTCATCAAGTAATTCGAAGTCAATATGTTCTGAATTGGTGGCTGCAGAACAAAGATCACCTTTCTACGTATCAACTAATGAACACAGTAATCTCAGGTCCTACTGTACTTCAAAAAAGACCACTTACTTCAGAACAATTTTCTGTGTATGTGAATATGAATTTCCTAGTTTACTAAATCCATATCTTGGAATGACACATCGTTCAAAGATGTTTTGAAGCAAAACAAGAATTTAATGCAGAAACCACGAAACTTTGATCCCTTCCACTGACTCATTTCTCAATTTCCAAATAGTGTATTAGCAGATCACCCAGTAAACACACAAACTTTTATTGAACGTGTCATCAACGTACGTTGACGTTACATGGCGCCCAACAACGTGGGGCAAGTGTTCAACAATTACATGCTTTGGCAAGTGTTCAACAATTACATGGTTCTACAAGTGTTCAGCGATTACCTGGTATCCAGCAACGTGGGTCGAGTATGGAAGATTTCAGGGTAGTGGACGAATCCACTCGAGTAGATTGGGAGGTTCGATGGATAATAATTTTGACTTCAGGTGATCAAAGTCAATGGCGCCCTTTTGAGAATGAAGATGTTGAAAATCCTTTGGGATATGATTCCAGGTTAGCTGATTCGATAATCGAATTAACTAAGGCCGTTCGCACCTTGGGAAGTGAGAAATCGAAATTGTTGTTGCCCGATTTCAGTGGTACTGATTCGGAAGACCTTGAAAAATTTATTTCAGAGTGTGAAGGGGAGTTCGCGAAAGACTTGAGTATCGGTAGAGAGAAGTTTCTCGTGTTTGCAAGGAAACGACTGAAGGGTAAGGCCCTCGGTTGGTTGAGATCGATGTTTGGTAATTTGCGGATTACGTGGGAGAATTTCTGCAATAGGCTGTTGCAGAAATTTAATAGTAAAACGGTCATTGCACGTCTGATATCCAAATTACACGGGCAGTCGCATCAGGGGAAGTGTTCGCCTGAGTGTTTCATTGCTGAGGAATCGGCTTTGGCTCAGCGCGTTGCTCCGGATATGCAGGAATCAGATCTGATCGAGTTACTGATACCGCAGTTGAAGCCTGAGATTCGTTGTTTTTTGAGAGGTAGAAAATTTGAAAGTTTGTAGGAGTTGACTTCAGGAGGTGAGTCTAATAGCTGAGGATCAGAAATATTTTGTTCGGCCTCAGGGGTTGTGTTTTGTTGGAGATGTTCTCAGTTGCGGAAATGATGGTGGAAACCGCCAACGTTTAAGGGTAAAGACACACGGAGCGGTTTTGGTCGAGTCGGCAGCCGACTCGGCCTCTGATCACAGTATTTCAAATGAAACAAAACAGATAGACCATGGGGCGTGATGGAGCAGCGCTGCTGCCGCGCGTACGATGATCTGGATGATGTGCCGAACGCGTTTTTATTGCTTCCCGCGTATGCTCAGACAGTTGTTCCAAGTGAGAGCATACACACGGCGAGCGGTTTTTCAGCGGCGGAAGATAGGCATTGTTGTAAAATTGCGATGGAAATCACCAACCAATTCAATACAGTCTTTCGTAGAACTTTTTGCACCAGAGGACTCGCAAGATAGTGATTATTTAATACTTTGTCAGCCATTTTGTAACGTTCATGCTTCATTTGTACTAATATTTTTCTTAATAGCTAATAAAAACCGAAAATGAATTGTGTCTTACCTGAGTGTTATCACCAGTTTTTCTTTTGCCGGAATACTTGATCTCATTACCGAATCTTGCTTTGATATATTATATTCTTCTATTAGATTCAATAGTTCATAAAGTGAATCTTGAGACATTCGAACAAAATTAAAAAATTTCTAGTCATCACCTTCGATTCCATTATTAAATAAAGTATAAAACATACTTTTTTCAATTTTATTCTGCACAACTGGGTGTATCCATATACGCCTGTTTCGTTTTTTTCTCAATCGACAATAAATCAGTCCTACTAATGCCAGAAACTCTTCTTCAGAATCAGACTCCATATCTACGCATCAGATATGATCATTGGTATCAACAAACTGACAACATCTCAGCGTTTAGTGTTTCAAATGCCGCCTCAGCGACAGACTCGTGTGTTTTCACTCGACGACTGCCGAGTCGGCTGCCGACTCGGCCAAAACCGCTCCGTGTGTCTTTACCCTAAAGTTTGAATAGAAAAAGGCTGTTTCATCTGAACGTTATGAAAACGTAATCTTTCATCATAGTCTGAGACAACAATAATGCAACGTTATGATAACGTTACCTGCAATAAGTGAGGTATACCATTAACATAAACGTTTTTTCAATGTATATTCTGACCTATTTTCCAAGAAATTGAAAAACGAGTTAACAATGAATCGACAAAACATTCACTGAAATACCTTTGCTTACTATGGATTCTGATTATGAAGTGGCTGAATCTTACTGCGACACGGCCGCCCAGGCAGACTGTGGCATTGGTGTTCCAGAAGAAAAAGATGATTGAATCGAGTCACGCTGAAACTCATTCAGCCAGCTCGTACGCATTCTCAGGGGGAAAAATTATGTTCACTTGTTGACAAATACTAGTGAATAAGGAAATTGTTGGTTCATCAAATTCGTGAAATAAATATTCAGTCCTAATACAACCCTTTCCTCAATCACAACATTTTTTAATTATCAACACTGAGATTTTAGAGACGGAAAAATCCAAATGAACCAAATTTAGATGAAATCACCCATCTTGAAGGATTCGTAAATTTGTCAATCAGTTTATTTCTATATTTTGGCCAAGAAGATATATTTCCGTGAAAAAATATTGATGAAATTTTGAGGAAAACTTTACAAACGAAAGGATTTCCACAAAATTCTCAATCACACGTCATGTTTCGCTAACATGGCTTCATCAAATGGAATACTGTAATGAAGAATTTCGTAAAAATCTTATGGTTTGTGAAGTTTTCACATTTGCTATGGCATTTCATGGAATAACGGCCAAGTCAATTCAGAATTTGCAAGTACTCGTGGTGTCACCTTTGAAAATTCCACAACCTTCATTGAACTGTCGTACCAGGTGATGAGATGTTATATTTACATTCGTGGTAGCCATGACGGCGTGGTCTCATCGGCTTGGAAGGCAGAAGAATCGTACTTACAAGAATGGTGTGCATTCTGATTCATTCATTTATCGCATGAAATTACAGTTTTATAAAAGTAGTGGAATTGTCGAAATAGATTGAATTCGTGCTGATTATCATAAATCTTGTCAGGAATCTCCAACTCAATGAAATCGTTTTCGGGTAACCCCACTCGTACTGCAATTTCCTGTTGTTGCCAAGAAATTAAATCTCGTTGATTTCTGACAGAATGACTATCGAGAGTATAGCGAGCACTTATAGTATTACCCCTGATGATATACTGAATCATGTGACATCTGATTTGGATTGCTTTCATTAACTATATCAATACTTTTCAGGTATTCGTGAAACAAGACTGAAATGCCAGCTAGACTTCTAGAATCAGAACGTCATTCAAGAAATTCAGTTGATGAGGTTATTGCCATCACAGGAATTTCTGGTCGTTTTCCCGAGAGCAACACCATCAATGAATTCAAGGAGAAACTTTTCGATGGTGTAGACCTCGTCACGGAGGATCCACGAAAATGGCCTTCTGGTTTGAATGGTTTACCAACACGTTCCGGTAGAATCAAAGATTTGCAATATTTTGACGCCACATTCTTCGGAGCTCACTCTAAGCAAGCACACGCTATGGATCCACAGTTGAGAATGCTTCTAGAATCAACATACGAAGCTATTGTAGATGCGGGCGTTAACCCCACTGATATAAGAGGTTCGAAAACAGGAGTATTCATTGGACTATGTACCTCTGAAACATTCGATTATATGAATATGAATCCAGATATAATGAATGGTTACAGTCTAACAGGATGCTGCAAATCGATGCTCCCTAATAGAATATCTTATACTTTTGATTTAATTGGTCCCAGTTGCGCAATAGATACAGCCTGTTCTAGTAGCCTCATCGCCTTGCAGCATGCGGAAACTGCGATCAGAAATGGAGACTGTGAAGCAGCGATAGTAGGCGGAGTGAATCTCATTCTCAACCCGACCTATGCCTTACAGTTTCAGAAACTAGGTATGTTGAGTCCTGAAGGCAAGTGCAAAGCTTTCGATATTTCTGGAGATGGTTATGTTAGATCAGAAGCAGCAGTGACAGTTTTTTTACAGAGAGCCAGTGTGGCTAAAAGAATGTATGCGACTATAGTTGGTGCTAGAACAAATACTGATGGTTACAAGGAAGAAGGTATCACATTTCCTTCTGGAGCGATGCAAAAACAACTCATCGATGAGTTATATGATGAAATAGGTATAAATCCATTAGATGTTTCTTACATAGAAGCTCACGGTACTGGTACCAAAGTAGGAGATCCTCAAGAAGTCAACTCTATTGCTGACATTTTCTGCAAGAATCGGAAAGATCCTCTCCTCATTGGTTCAGTGAAGAGTAATATGGGTCATTCAGAACCAGCGTCTGGTCTGTGCTCACTAGCAAAAATTGTAATAGCCATGGAATCGGGGATGATACCTCGAAATCTTCATTTCCAAGTACCTAACAAAGACATTCCTGCATTGAATGATGGGCGCTTGAAGGTTGTAACAGAAAACGTACCTTGGAAAGGAGGTTTAATCGCCGTCAACTCCTTCGGATTTGGTGGTGCTAATGTTCATGTTATCTTGCGTTCTAATCCCAAACCAAAAAAGACTTCGCATAAGTTGTCGATACCACGTCTAGTGGGTGTTTCAGGTAGAACTGAACAAGCCGTAGAACGTTTTCTCGTGAACGTAGAAGAAAACAAGCAGGACGAAGAGTTCTTAGGACTCCTGGATGGAATTCATGAAAAAAATATTAAGGGGCATGCGTTCAGAGGGTACACTGTATTGAATGAGGAACCCATCACAAAGATTAAGGAATTTTCACCTGAAAAGAGAGCCATTGTATTTATTTATGCAGGAGTAGGTGCACAATGGCCTGGAATGGCAGAGGAGTTGATGAAGTTAGATTGTTTCAAAAATTCAGTTCAAAAGTGCGCAGATGTCCTAGTGCAGGAGGGCATAGATTTAGAGAACGTTCTGACCAATAAAAGCGAAACAATATTGGACAATGTCGTGAATTCATTTATATCCATAACTGCGATGCATGTGGCGTTAACTGATGTTCTGAAAACTGTTGGTGTTGAACCAGATATGATAATAGGTCACTCGGTTGGTGAAATCGGTTGTGCATATGCTGATGGTACATTGACGAGAGAACAAGCTATTCTGGCAGCCTACTCTCGAGGTCGTGCTATTTTGGAATCCAAACTGCCTCTAGGTGCTATGGCAGCAGTTGGACTTTCTTTAGAAGAAACGAGGAAAAGGTGTCCCCCTGAGATATTTCCCGCTTGTCACAACAGTAATGATAGCGTGTCTGTCTCTGGACCACCAGAGTCAATCAAAAGGTTCATCGAAGATCTACACAAGGATGGCATTTTTGCTAAAGAAATCAATACATCAGGTATAGCATTCCACAGCAAATACATTGCTGAAGTTGGTCCAAACCTACGAGAAGCTCTGGACGTGATTATACCATGTCCTAGGCCTAGATCTACGAAGTGGATTTCTTCTTCTATTCCGGAAACAGAATGGAAATCTTCATTGGCAAAATATAGTTCTCCAGCTTATTTCGTCAACAATTTGATATCCCCTGTTTTATTCAAAGAGGCTCTGGAATACGTTCCTAATAACGCCATTGTAATTGAAATTGATTCTAATGGACTTCTCCAATCTATCCTCATGAAGGAACTGGGAAACGACGCAACGATTGTTAATCTAGTGAAGAGAAATTACATTGACAAAATATCTTTCTTGCTGTCTGCCATTGGAAAGTAAGTACCCTCGTTTCTATCTTAATGTAAAGGAAAAATTCTCAATTGGATAAAGAATTCTTCAATGGTTTCCCTTAGTTATCAGCAGCAGTTGATCAGCTGGTGAACTATGTTAGTTGTCATCAGGATGTCACTTATGTGAAGTTTCTCATTCATCTGAACTATACAGTATACAGGTAATTCGATACATCCTATGGAGATGTGATAGGGAAGGTTGTGAGGCGTTAATTAAACCCCAATATGCATTATGCAAATGTCGATAGTTTTCGGGATATTCAATTTTTTTTTTGTTTTCTTCAAGGGTTCGAGGGTTCAACAGTAAGTTACCCGAGAATCTGCTCTACATTCTTCCAAACTTTCAACTAGAATATATGATCAACACTATGGTCTTATTTTTGGAATAACAAAATCACAGGAATGATTCAGATCATAGATAGATTGTAGATATAAAGTCGTATTTTTGTTCATAAATTGTGGATTCCAACCACATTTTAGTGGCTATTTTTAGGAAGATCTATGAGCCACATTTGTCAAAAATTCTTTGAAGCTTCCTTAAGGCAATACCTATCTAACTGAGTACAAATGAAACTGAAAGTACTCGATACGGAAGTTATTTCAAACGAATAGTATGAAATACACTTGAAAATACCTATCAGTATTTATTTTCGGGAGTTTTAATTTTCGTTTATTTGCTCGAGGCATCTAAATAGCGTAACAAATGTTCATAACCTCCGTCATTGGGCCGAAGAGAACCCTCGTTTAACATGGAAACCTAATTTCCAACGGAAGATCTTTCTTAATGTGTTGATAGAACTCATTGACAGCTATTTGATAGCACCACATTTTTTCATAGATAATTCAAACAGGAAAATGTATGAACATTTTTGAGAATGTTTCTATTGCCATCAGAAGACGGATGATATTCCAACAAAGCGGATGTTTAGAGCATTATCAGCTGATCGTTCGGCAGTTCCTAGATTTTTTGAACCGTTTGATTAGAAGGTCTGGACGAATAGGTTGGCCAGCGCGAAGCCCTGACCTAACCCTCCTTGATCATTAGATGTGGGGTGATATGGAAGCGCTAGTTGATGAAATTCCAGTAAATACTCGGGAAGAACTCTAACAAATGATAACCGACGCTGCCCTGCACATACAAAATGATTTGAGAACTAGAATAACACAAACGGAAATAAGAAGACGCTGCCACGCATGTATTCGTAAGAGAGGTCTCTCTTTGAACAGGGTTTGTAAAAAGTGAGTACTAATATTAGAAGTTTCTCAAGTACGTTTCAAATATTGATGTTAAATACCGAACCCGTATCAAGCAGTTTCATCATCATTTGTACCCAGTTAGATAGCTATCGCAGTAAGGAAGTTTCAACAAATTTTTGACAAATGTGGCTTATATTTCTAAATTAACCGCTACAAAGTGTTGAATATCACAATCAACAATCAAAATCACGATTTTCTTTTCACAATGCATCTATTATATATGTATTATTAATTCTGAAATTTTTCCATTCCAAGAAAAAGATCATAGTGTTGTTCATGTATTCTATAGTTGGAAAGTTGAAAAAAATGTACAGCAGATTTTTGAAAAAAAAAACTTTCAAACCCTGGAAGTCCACCTTTTGGAGATATACAGAAAAAGTTGAATATCTCAAGAACTATCAACTTTTGCATAGTCCATATTAGGGTTAAATTCACTCCCTACAACCTCCCCTATCGCATCACCAGAGGAAAGTATCGAATTACCAGTAACCCTGTATATTATTCTCAGCATTGATTATGATAATAATTATAAAATGATTCAGAAGTTAAGTCATATCAGAGATTTCTGGAGGTCATTTTGTTGCTCTTGCTCTTGCTCAATTTTCCTTTCAATCAATATATTCATGAGGAGATTATCTGTAGGAAAATCAAAATAATTCAATTTTGTAATAATTTCAATTTCAATTTTTCGAATTTGAAGATTATCTCATGAGTTTGAAAAGTGGTTTCATGGTGAAAACTCTCCCGGCAAGACAATGGGTGGTATAGATTGACCATCCCATTCACTATGCAGGATGTTTCATAATTCGACCAGCAACGCTTGACATGTGATAATCCTCCTGATTTCATGAACACTGGTCATAAACACGGTCTTTCAGTGTTTAGTTCTCGAGACAGGGTGTTGAAGATATGGAATTGAAATAGTTTCTCAAGAATGATGGAATATTCTGCATTCGACTTCGATACATTGTATCTTCGAATGGGTCATTTTTTAAGCAGAAAATCATTCCAGACATTTCATCTAGTGGTGAGCCTGCAGTTACTTTTTTTCCCATATTGTTTACGCAACTGATATAATTTCTATTACTCTTCAATCGTTGAATTCATTATTCAATCTTTTGCCCAAATTGCATCATCCTCAACTGAGCACAGTAACTTCCATCATTTTCTACGAAATCGTGAAACGGACATGCGAAATATCTTTTCTTGATTCGAAATTAGTACTTATATACTTATAACTAGAATAATAATGAAAATGTTTTTCATACATGATTGAGTATCTCGAAAAGTTGTAGGTTTTTATGAAGTCGAGTTGCATTTTTTGTGATAGGTTGTTAAATTTTTCATTACAAGCTGGAGTATGATCCATGGTATGCCAGACGCATATCGAAATCTGTGAGCCTGTGTGACCAATAGCAGAGATTATACATAATCTCTGCCAATAGTAACGCTACAAAACCGCACTGATTCAGGAATAGTAGATGAGTGCCAAACGAATCGTAAGTCGCTTAGATCAAAAGTAGGAGGGAAATCGGAGATAAAAAGCTGTGACATGCCTAGAACTGTTACCTACCACCTCCAGATGATGGATCCACTTATCGTCAAAAAATCGTCCTCTACGTTTGGGGGGTAGAGGGTAATTTAAAGAAAAAATATGGATTTTTTTTTATTCGTGGAAAATATTGTTGGGTTCCCGAACTTCCACCCTGTTGAATCTTGATTTCGTGTGACAAAGTAGAACAAATCATAGAATATCTTGAAATTCACCAATTACATTACGATATACAGGGTGTCCGGAGATAAAACCGACCAGACTTGTGGGATTATAGGGACTGTCAATATGATTGCATTATGCCATAAACCAATGTCCAAAACCGCTTCGTTATTGACATACAGAGTGATTTGTGGATTTTGACAAAAAATTCAATCCGCCATATCAAATACAGGGATTAACCGATTAGATTCAAATTTGGTACACGAATTACACTGAAAAGCATCAACAAGTAGCCCTTTGATCGAAACCAATATCAGGACGGAAATGATATTTTTCCCCTATGTTGAGTTATTGTGAGAATAACTCACCCTGTTTAATAATAACAAAAAATTTCAACTCAGATTCGACATCTACGGTAGAAATTGTATTGAAATTTGTTGAAAAATCTCCTGGTACTATCTTAGTTATTCCGTAATTAATTATTATTTTAATTTTTTTCTTTCAAAATTCAATTATTGAATTATTGTCGGATGAAGTACTATCAAAATTGGTATTATAATAAATATTAACGAAACCATGACATGAATATCCTTATTTTCTTCAATCAGTCCGTAAATCGTAGTAAAATAAAATACTCTCATTACCCGAGAAAACTGAAAAATAAATTCGTATCAGGACTGGAATGCGGTTTTCTATGATTATATTCCTGTAAGAATAGATGGTCTAGTATAACAATGATCTGATCGCAGATTCGAAATGCACTGAGAAAAGTTAAAAACTAGTTAAAAAATGATCGGATTGAACTTTCGAATGATAAATCCGTATCAGTACCTCATAATATTTGTGTATAAAGAATACTAGGCTTGTGTCAAATTCAGAATTTCATTATGGAAAACCATTGTTCAGCTGTCATCAGCGTTTGTTTTATTGGTGTTCATTCATTATTCCAGTGTTTTTAGGATCAAACAATAGTTCTAAGAGATGCTTATGATGCCGTTTCATTTCACTTATGAGGAATACGCAGATATTCTATTTGTGTTTGGGCTTCAACTGGTGATGTTTACCTAAATTTCCTGGTCAATACCTGACCGGATCTATTGCAAGGTGTAAATACCTGAGGTATATGGTTTCAGCATGATGGTGCTAGACCTCACTTTTCAGTTCCAGTTAGAAACCATCTCGATGCCAATTACCCCATTAGATGGATTAGCCGTGGAGGTTCAGTAAATTGGCCACCGCTATCCCCTGATCTAACTCAGCTAGATTATTTTTTTATGAGGTCATTTGAAGTAAGAAGTTCATAATGAAGAAATTCTTTATGGGAAATTACTGCTGCATGTGTTAGTGTTAGAAATAACCCTCAAATAATTCGCAAGTCAGTGAATCATCTAATAGCACGCTCTCAAAGATGTATTGATGTTGGAGGGCTCCAATTCGAAAATGTTTTGTAATTCTGGTTAGTAAAAGTTTTTCACGAATTCGTTGCTTTTGTTATGTTCATTACAAACAGTTATTGTTCGTTGTGTAGTATTCTCATAAATTCAAATTCATTAGTGAGCGAATATAATTTACGAAAACTTCACTGTTATCCTTCTTTAACAGGTTCTTATACGATTTTTTTAGTTTCCGAATCTACGATCAGATTATTGATAACTATTGATGTACTAGGTCAGCTAACATGACCAAACAAAACACTCATTCCAGTCCTGATACGAATTTATTCTTCAGTTTTTTCGGGTTATGAGAATATTTCATTTTACTCCGATTCATGAACTGATCGAAGAAAATAACGACATTCAGGTCATGGTTTCGTAAATATACGTACTTTATCCGACAATGATTGATTTTTCAATGAAAAAAATCAAAATGATAATTAATTACGGAATAACTAAGATGGTGCCAGGAGATTTTTCAACAAATTCCTATACAATTTTCACCGTAAATTGCGAATCTGAGTCGAAATTTTTGGTTATTATGATACAAAGTGAGTTATCCTAACAATAACTCAACATAGGGGAAAAATATTATTCCGGTCCTGATATTGGTTTCGATCAAAGGGCTACTTGTTGATGCTTTTCAGTGTAATTCGTGTACCAAATTTGAATCCAATTGGCTAATCCCTGTATTTTATATGGCGGATTGAATTTTTTGTCAAAATCCACAAATCACTCTGTATCTCAGTAACGAAGCCGTTTTGGACATTCGTTTATGGCATTTTGCAATTATATTGACAGTCCCTATAACCCCATGAGTTTTGTCGGTTTTATCTCCGGACACCCTGTATGAGAAAATCATACTTCAAACGGCTATAACTCGAAACTTGTTAATTAGATCTATGATTTTCGTTAAATTGCTTTTCATATACCTCGCATTATCTCAGTAACTACAACGTTTATCAAGAAAATACTCCAATTAATGTCAATGCGCCTATGTTTCAAGATGCGAATGGTTCTTCGATTTTGAAAATCGAAGCAGAAATAAGAAAGATATTGGGAAAATCATAATCCAATGCAGGTAGTACGAAGGAGCTCGAATCGCCGCTATCATACTCCGATTCTCCCCGCAACGCCCGCGGTCGTCCTAGAACGATCACCCGGGAGAAATGAAATCGATCGCTATGTATTTTGTACACCAGCGCCAAATTTCTTGCTACCATCGAACGTAGAATTTTTTTTGTGGCTCTAGACTCCCACCTAACCTATGTCTAACATGTCTAACATGTCTGGGATGTGATAGATCGGTTTTGTGTGTGTGTTTGTACGAAAATTTTGACGCGTTGTCACGTTGGTGCCCGTTGGTGCCTAGAATACAATAAACTGCGTGGAAAATAGGGTAAATTATCTGAGTATTCAATATTGTATACAAACACGTTAGTTATAAGTGACTTTTTTTTTATTTGCATTTCCTCGTTGGACCCAGCATTGGATCCAACGCCCCATAAGTCGAAACTTGTGCGGGGATAGGAAAGCATACGTTTTTGTTTCACCTAAAAACAAGTCAAATTCATGGTGGTGTACAAAATACACCGCGCGGGAAAAAGTTCGAATTAATTCGCGCGAGTAATCAAGGGTTAACTTGCTGTTTGATTGGAAGTGACCCCAATTTATTTTTTGAATGATTCTATCTCGAAAGTACATTTTTTATCCATATCAGAGTAAAATGTCACCCATCTCATTTATTAACAAATTGAGAAATATTGAAACAAAACATGATGCATAGATAATACTGAAATAAAAATAGGATATCCTTGTGGAAACTTGAAAGAAACAATATTTCTTGATACCGATCGAATTGCGAAGTTGTAAATATTTTTATACGATACAGTGTCCACAAGAATACAAAGCTTCGATAATTTTTTTCGATCATGTCTCTTGATGAATCATCATTCCCAAACCAACGTGTTCCGGTGTGGGTTTTTTTAATTTCGAATTAGCGAATATTATACCTTGACATCAGATACTCAACACCTTTGAATCAACTGAATCAACTTTATCGTGTATAAGCAACTATAATTTGAAAAAAAAATTTGATGGTATCATATCCTTGTAAGCCTTGACATCCATATTTAAAATAAATATCTCAAAAAAATTTGTGTATCGGTCATATCTGATACATGCAAAGTCAGGGGAGTTATCTTCTGTAATTTCACTTTGTTCTATATACAGTATGATGCAAATGTATGGAATAAATTCATTCCAAAACAAGACGACTTCCGGAAAAAATCCAAAAAGTAGAGTTCAGAACTCTTTTATCGATGTATTTTTTCAACTAGACGACCCTTTGATGTTCAATTCTCAGTAGAAGATCTCTGCACGATTCAGTTAACCAAATGATAAGCCATTTTAATTTCAATCTTCTTTTACAAAACTATTGGATAGACGATCAGTAGACCTTTCAAACGAGGTGTCACATGACCCCTGTTTGTATTTAAAAAACCGTCCATTACGTCATTACTCCAACACCGGTGACGTAACATCTCTCATATGAATGTCATGAGATAAGGTTTCAAAAATTAAAACATAGAACGGCTAGGCTCTGGAATTCATTGCCTGTGGAAGTATTCCCAACAACATATAATCTCCAAAAGTTCAAAACAAATTCCAATACCTACCTCCTGTCCCTATCCTCCCTAGGAACGCACGATGTTCTTTGAACATTATAGGGATTCCCTTTCGTGCGCTCCAAGCGATAAAAAAAGTCGCTCATTTCTGAAATGATGAATTTATTCCATACATTTGCATCATACTGTATGTGTATGGATCAGATGAGTTTTTGTCACTTTTGGAATCACAATATACGACACTACTGTACGTAGTGCTTTCTGATTTCTTCGATAAATTCATTTTACTTGATTATTTGTGATTTTCTCTCCTCGTTTCTTTGAACGTTGTGGGAACGAATCTGCTCCTGTTCTGAACATGAAAATGCAAAATATTTTTCTTTGGAAGTTGCATAGTTTTCGGAAAATCACTTGAGATAACAAAATAAAGGAAAGCTGATCCTTCCATGGATTGATCCTGAGCTTCCGGCGGCGTGGCTATCGAATTTCTGATTGATTGAAGAGCGTTCGTTCTGTGATTAGAGTTGAGACAAAATGCATTTCACTTTCTGAAACCAGGCTACTTATTGCAGAAAATCCCGTAGTTGTTCCCAGTTGAGTGAGGAATGAATAGAAACATTGCTGATCAATGCCACGAAAAGGCGGCCACGTGGCTCTTGATGAATTTCTTGAACATCGCTGATGCGTGTCGTGAGGAAATATTTTTCGAGCTGAGAAATCTACGGATCTTTCAAAGGTTCTCCATTTGTATAAATCTATGTTTTCCATAGATTTCATGTTCAGATCTAGCGAAGGTTACACTCCCAATACGTTGACTTCCCTGACTATGGAAGCTACGAATTCATTGGGAATTTTTGAGGTATGCTCCTCAATAACCGGAAGGTCATGACTTTGCTCGTGAAGATCTACAACAAAATAATTTCATCAATGTGACCAATCGCAAAGTGATTTTTCTGATATAATAAATTGATTGAATTATTTCAGGACACGGTGTGATACAAAAAAGATGAAGTATCCGTGAACATATCAAGGATACAGGTAAAAATGCATTAGGAGTCTTCAATTTGAAACAAGAAACCGTGAGCTGAAATCTAATATTTTCCCCGTGTATACTTAGTACACTTTTTTCTGTGACATGAAAAAGGACGAATAAATATCGGGAAGGTATTGTATTATATTGAAATGAGAAAATTATAGACGTGAAATCTTAAGTTTTCAACAGTGATAAATACATGGTGAATCGAATTCGAATCTCATCGATATTTGGAAAAAATCACGATTCAACAGAAGTAGAAAAACTTGCTCGAGCAACTCAGCTACTCGCTTGGCTTTTTTGACGAGAGGTTTTGATCATTTCACCACCCAACCATATTCATATCCAAATGAAGAGAACCGTTTTTCAAAAGTACAACAAACTAATAATGACCATGCCTTACCGATACGGGTTCTATTTATATTTGGAATCGATGCTGGATTCGCAATTTTCAGCAAATGGGAATGGCCATTATCTTTCGATATCACTTACCTATAGGTATTATCGCACGGTAAGCAGTTTTTGCAAATTCTAGAGGAACTGACGTCTGTGAACTCCGCTCACCTGATCGAAAATTCACTGTACTGGATGTTTTGATTCAGAAAAGGTGATTTATGATGAAAGATCTTGGAATGAACAAGAGTTTGAGTGCATTTATACTTCTTGACAATATGCACTTTGCTCTCCATAAAGGTCTCTCAATTAACACATTTCTATACTTTCATCACAACAGCTGTCACCGTCACTATCGTCCTTTATTTTCCGAGGCTTTTTAGCACAACATCGTCTCTCTTCTGAAACATATAGTCTATAGGAGATCATTGTGAATGAAACAGTTTCAACACAATATACTAATTGAATGTCGATTATGAAAGAACACCTATTTCTTGAGAATGTTATTTCTTTAAGGACGCATTTTGAAAGATTCATGCAGAAAATGATCTAATAAAAAAATGACGAACTAGTTCGCTCCCAATATTTTCAACATAACATAACAAAAATATTGAAGATACCCAAGACTTTTATGATTGACGATTTCCTTTCCTTTCAAAATTTATTGAATTCATATTGAGAACATCAGAGACCAGTATACATTCAACCTCTTATTTCTCTTTCAGAATTTTCATTGCTGGTGCTCAACCAAAGATTGGTAATTTGTACCCTCCAGTTACTTTTCCTGTTGGTAGAGGTACTCAAATGATCAACTCTATGATCGAGTGGGATCATTCAGTTGAATGGAGTGTGGCTGATTTTTCCGGAAAAGCAAATCGTTCTAGGGAATCCGTCGTGGAGATAGACTTGAGTAAAGAATTGAGTAAATACTTAGCTGGATACATTGTTGATGGACAAGTTGTTTTTCCAGTTTCAGGATATTTAGTGAGTTGAACATCAATCCAAATACCTACTCAACTGTTTGAGAAATATAATCATTTCTTCCTATTCAGGTTATTGTATGGAAAGCATTTGCCAAACTGAAAAACATGGATTTCCAGCAACTACCAGTAGTATTCACAGATGTATGTTTCCACAAGACCACCATTTTATCTGATATAGGTCCCGCAAGATTTCTCATCAATATCCTCGAAGGAACTGGAGAATTTGAAGTTTGTGAATCTGGGTCAGTCGTTGCATGTGGTAAAATATCTATACCAGATGCGTCTATGGAATCTATGGTTCTACCTGAACTGAATATAACATCAGAAGAACAAGTGCTACATTTAACTTCTGATGATATCTACAAAGAATTGAGATTACGTGGATATGACTATAGAGGTATTTTCAAAGGAATCATCGAATCGGATGGTTTAGGAATGAGAGGAACACTTGCATGGAAGGATAACTGGAACACCTTCATCGATACCATGTTTCAATTCTCTAGTCTTGGAGAAAAGTCTAGGGAGCTATACTCCATCACTCGGCTACAGAGAGTTTCAATAAATCCGAAAAAACATCTGGAATTCATTCAGAAATTTTGTGATGGAGAAAGTAAGAACATGCAACAATTTTTCGTTGAGAAATCCTGCTTCAATATTCTTGAAGTGGTACTATAACTTTAAGTCGTCCCCACAAGTATTATGGAGATGACTATGAGTAAAACTACTTCTTTATACATCAACTCCAGTGATACCATGCACTTCTACTACAGATTTATTACATTCCAGGAACAAGACACTGAGTCATCTCCACGAATTTTTTATCGGAATTATCTGGACATGTTTCGGACTATCGAGAGTTCATCATCAGCAAAATGAATCAAGAAATTCTTACAAAGTTGAGTTTCCCATAGTGAAACTTGAATTTGTACCTGAGGTTATCTAAGTACTAACGTGAACGTGGAAAAAAGGGGGCAACAGCGATATTATCAGTTATAAAATGAAATAAAGATACTCATATAGGAAAAAGTGCTCATAGCCACTAAAGGACTTTTTGGAATTCAAACCTATCATTCACATTGTTAACTGACAAGTCCAAGAAAGGAAGAGAATTATTGCAGATTCCATAGTGAAATTAATCTCGTCAGGATGGAATGTGTTCAAAAATTCCAAGAGCAAGTTTACTACTCGAACAGTACCTTGAAAATAGATCAAACAATAGTCTACAAATCTGTACCAAGTGTTCAATCTGTGAAAAAGTGGGAAGTGTTGGAGATTGCTTTCTAAATCAAGTTAAAAATTTTAGATAAGAGAGGAGAGAGTTTGCTGCCTATGGATGATTATGAGATTTGTGAATAATAAGTTTCATCGAACTGAGGAAGAAAATGTTCACCAATTGTATCCAATAATTGACAAAGCCTGAGAACGTGAAAAGTAGGGATTTTATAATCCACGAGGAGATTGCGAGCTAACTTTTATATACCTTTATTGTGAAAGAAACGTCAGAAACGATGAACAGCATTTTTCCAGCGAAAGGTCCGGCATAATTGATTTGGACGCGCTCCCAGGGTCCGTTTGGGTACTCCAATTGGTGCTCACGAAATTTCGGTGGTGCATGTGCGTGTTTGACGCATTCATAGCAAGATTTTGCGATGCCCTCAATATCTGCATCGATGCCAGTCAGTAAACAAAATACCGCGCTAATCCTTTCAGCTTAAGAGGGCGCATCAGTCAAAACTGCCATGCAGAGGTCAGTTTGGTACCAAATCATTAATAAACTATAAGTGTAAGCGCAAAAGTGGTTGGTACATATTAAAGACGAAGGTTGAGAATAGGAAATGAAGGAATTTTCCAGCGAAATTCGATTTGTGTAAAAAAATATATGGAAATGAAAAACAATAACATTGACAACGTTTGTGTAACAGAATCGAATAAAAACCTGGCATACCCTAAGTTAGCAATTCAATAAATTTTTGATGAAATAATCTGCTTCGGGAACATTGTCGTTTGGGAATGTATTGTTCGTAAAATTAATTCTGACGTTTCTGCATCTATTTTCAATATCGCCATATTGTTAGCGAGGTTTCGACAGTGGCAGAGTAGTTCAGCTATTGTCTTTCAGAGGGCTACACAGTGAAACTACCGTGCTGCGCTCCTTCAAGAACTAATACAAACATTACAGTTCTCTTTCTATTAATTTCTTCTTTCTGGGTCTGGGGAACAGTGTTGCCAATAAGGCGCTTTTTAACTTCGTTTTGCGTCATTGCGATTTTTTGTAAGTTATTGCGCTTTTTTTTCTTTTTATAGTCTATCGAGTGTATTGCATAACTGACTCTGTTGATTGATAATATTAATCTAATATATAAAATTCTCCTGTCCCTGTCACGGTGTTTGACGCCAAACTCCTCCGATCGGCTTGGCCGATTCTTATGAAGATTTTTGTGCATATTCGGTAGGTCTGAGAATCAGTCGTAAACGATTTTTCAAATTGAAAATTCAAGATGGCGGATATCCAATATGGCGGACGAGTTTTGTAATCCGATTCTATTAAAAATTGATGGTTTTCGGGATCGGATATTATGATTTCTTCGTCAAAATGAGGAGATTCAGAATGGCGGATACAATATATGGCAGACGAGTTGTTCAAATATAATCCGATTCTGTTCAAAATTGGTACCTAGGGGGTTTTCGGAGTCGGAGATAACAATTATTTCTTCAAAATTTGGAAATCCAAGATGGCGGATCCAATATGGCGGACAAGTTTCGAAATTATAGACCAAATGTTTTCAAAATTGGTATCTGGGATTTTCGGGTCACAGATTCAGAATCTTTAGTCAAAATTGAGAAATTCAAGATGGCGGTTTCAATATGGCGGACGAGTTCTGTAATTATCGACCAATTCTATTCAAAATTGGTATTTGGGGGTTTTCGGGGTCGGAGATTATGATCATTTGGTCAAAATTGAGAAATTCTCATATCCCATATCTCAATCGTAACGTTACCACCACTTTTCTTCCAATTTATAGAAAATAGTTTTGATTATCTTGAATTCCCATTCAAAAAACTGGTGTGGAAGTAAGCATACATAATCCACTCATGACAGGTAATATTCATAATTAGAAATTAGTGTAGGCATAAACAAAATATTGTCTTTTGTGATAGGCCCATATGAAACTCAGAAGATTATTTTTTATGAAAGCAAGTAATCAATCCTTTCCTCCTTTTCTCATTTGCTAAGAATTAGAAATCTGGTGCTACTTAGTTTCAACCAGTGACCAGTGATGCCAGGTCTAAGGAAATGTCATGAACATGAACGATTGACCCCTACTGATATATACAAAAACATCAGTGTTATAATATAAAATAGCAGAACGCTGGCAGCACTGCAAATTCCGGAGCGGGCGGTGTCGCGGTATCAGGCAGTGTGTGTGATTCCCCGAACGATTCCAACTGGACTTCAAAGAAAAATCGATAAGTGACCAGTGTTGCCAGTATGGGCGATTTCTCGACAATTGGGCTATCTCTGAACCTATTTTGGCGACCAAAAATTGAACTTGGCGAGAGGCGACTTATTGAGACGACTTGATGGGCTTCTGGGAGTGAGATGAGTATCGCGAGTCCAAATTCAATGGTTTTGTGGCTTTACCATCCAAGTAGATTCGAGTCATCCGCACAGAGCGAGATCCATTTGACGTTAGCAGGTGTTTATATTATGTTTCTACACTCTACAGTATCATTCATAAAGTTGGCATCATATGGGAAAAATTTTTGATAATAATATATCATAAACATCTCATCTATTTTCATCAGGTAAATGTGTCTGAAATGTTTCAAAAACGCACAGAGAAAACATGTCAACAAAAACTTCAAAATCTCCGGGAAGTTCAAATGATTATAAGAACCAAAGGTACAATACGTATAACTTCTTCATTCTCTGGCCACAGAACTCTGAAATAAAAAGAGAAAATCCCTTTCAACGAAAACCTATATAGATCCGGATCCAATATGCAAATTAGATCCGCCATCTTCAATTTAATAATTTTGTCAAAAGAATCATAAACTCCGATACCGAAAACCCCCAAATACCAATTTTGAATAGAATAGAGTTATAATTACGAAACTCTACCATATTGGATCCGTCATCTTCATTTTTCTGATTTTGACAAAAGAATCATATTCCCCGATACCGAAAACCCTCAGATACCTACGAATTTTTGAAAATAATCGGATCATGAACAAAACTCGTCCGCCATATTGGATCCGATATCTTTATTTTTTAAATGTCGACAAAAGAATCATAAACTCCGATACCGAAAACCCCCAAATACCAATTTTGAATAGAATAGGATTATTTTTATTTCGCTTGGAGCGCACGATAGGGAATCCCTATAATGTTCAAAGAAATGTTCAAAGAACATCGTGCGTTCCTAGAGAGGATAGGGATAGGAGGTAGGTACTGAAATTTTTTTATAATTACAAAACTCTACCATATTGGATCCGTCATCTTTATTTTTCTGATTTTGACAAAAGAATCATATTCTCCGATACCGAAAACCCCCAGATACCAATTTTGAAAATATTCGGATCACAAGTACAAAACTCGTCCGCCATATTGGATCCACCATATTCAATTTCCTTATTCTGACGAAAGTATCATTATTATCAATCCCGAAAACCACCCGATACAGAGATTTTGAATAGAATCGGATCATAATTGGAAAACTCGTCCGCCTTATTGGATCCGCCATCTTGAGTTTCCAATTTAAAAAATAGTTTACGATCGATTATCAGACCTACCAAAAATGCACAAAAATTTTCATAAGAATCGGTCAAGCCGTTTCGGAGGAGTTTGGCCACAATCACTGTGACAGAGAATCAATAATATATGTTAGATATAAACTATCGTATGACTTTCATTCTATGGTGAGGTCATCACAGGATGGGAATACTAGGTGGTAAATATAATAATGTGAAATATATCATTCCACTTATGAATTTCTACTACTACTAATTTGCGACGTACTCTGATTAAATACTGGCAACACTGTAGGTGACTTTGTACCTGTTCCCTTAGTACAGTCACAAATATTATTCAGAGACATCTATTGATGAGGTTCCCTATTGATTGAATTGAATGTATCTAAAGGATTCTGTAGAAATAATTCATGAAACTATAATTATGGCGCCACTAGACGGCTGTGATATATTTATAGTTTCACTGGTGTCTGTGGGCGAACTATTTCACTGTGATGCGCGCCCTTAACTATGCCCAAATGAGCGGTGTGTAGATCATTAACGACCGCGTGGCGAAATCTAGATGGGATGATGACTCTTTGTTCAAAAACTAAGCAGCTTGGAACTAGTTTGTATATTTGCTCAGGTTATTTGTACCCGGCACGTGCGAGGCTCTGTCCTGATTCCAGGAAACGGACAATTTTCCCAAGACGACGGTCTTTTTCTGTTCCTCGAGCAATATTCTCTGCACGAATCGGAAGCTGCTGGATTTGGCTTATGATGAAATTGTCGAATTCATCAAATTCATCCCCTTCTTCTTCCACACTTGTTGTACCTGATCAAATGTTGACTGGTGCAGGTAGAGGTGCACGGGAACAA